CGGGAGCGGCGGGAGGCGGCGGCTCCGGCTCCGCAAACTTTCCCGGAGCGGCGGCGGCGGGGCCATGGGCCGCGGGCCGCGCTGAGCACCATGATCGCGGCCGGGGGCTGCCTCGGCGCCGGGCTGCTGCTGCTGCTGCTGGCCGCCCTCTGCCCCCCCGCCGCCGCTGAAGGTGGGTCCCGCCGGGGGGCACCGGGGGGCACCGGGGACACCGGCAATCGGGGCGACTCCGGGCCGCGGGAAAGTCTTCGCGGAAAGTTTTGCACCGAGTGGGAAACCGGGAGGGGGCGGTGGGGGGAAGCGAGGGAGAAGCGGGAGGGGAGCGTGGCGGCCTCGAGTTGCGAACGAGGGGGGCACCGGGGGTGGCACCGGGCAGCTCTGGGAGCGGGTCGGGGGCGCGGTGTGCACGGGGGCTGCAGGGTGGGAAGCGACGGGACCGCCTTTCCCGGTGCTCCCCGCCGCGGGCAGCACGACCCCGGTGTCCCCGCCAGGACCGGGGGCCGAACTGGTTTGTACTGGGAGGCGCTGGGGCCGGGCGGGAGGCCCGGTCCCCCCGAGCGGGACGATTCCCGGGAGGGATTTAGGGGCTCCGGTAGAGCGGGGACCCCCCCGGCGCTGCAGCCGCTCCCAGGACTCCGGTACCGCCGGGAGAAGCGGGAACGGAGCCCCCAACTTATGGGGGTTCTCTTCCCGTGGGCATCGGGAGGCTCCGGGGCGCGGGGCAGGCGCGGTGCCCGCCTGGGTGGGTGGGTGGGTGCGTCCCCGTCGCTCCCATCCACATTCTCGACGTGCCGCACCCAGCCCAGCCCCGGGGGGAGCGGGGAGCCCGGCCCCGGAGCCCCCGGGGGAGCGGGGAGCCCGGCCCCGGCCGGGCCGGCAGGGCACGGGGCTGCTGGCCCCAAAGTGGGCACCAGCGGCCCCAAAGTTGGAGCGACGGGACCGCCTTTTCCTGTTGGGGGACAACTGCAGCAGCGGGGGTTTGGAAAGTGAATGCCCGGTGGGACTGCGGGGGCGGGACGGGGACGTGGGGACACACCGGGTGGCCTCTGCTCATGGCACCGCACAGCTCACGGTGCTTGGCGGGTCCGTGTGGGGCGGGCTCCTGCTTAGGGACACCCCGGTGTGGCAGCCCCGGCCCGGACAGCCCCGCGGGCACGTGGCTCACGGGCTTTGCCGGACACCCGTGGGCAGCCGAGGCTGCTCCGTGGTGAGCCAGGCGGGATGGGTCAGGCCCTGCGAGCAGAGAGGCCGAACCCTGGGGCACGCAGCCGGGATCCCAGCAGGATCCTTGTCCCACCTGCCCTTTGCCCCGGGGAAGCCCCAGCACCCCGCGCCTGTGCGGGCACAGACCTTGAGCTTTGGCCGCCCCGCACAGCGGCACCTTCCCTTGCGGGGTCCCCCCTTTTCTCGGGGGGTGGGTGGGAGAGAGCCGAACCCCACATTCGGGGGGGCTTCCTCCTTCCTGGCCGTATTTTCCCTGCCTCGGAGGCCTCGGGGCAGGCGGGGGAGGCGAGTGCCAGCCGGCTCTGCTGGACCCCGCAGCTGCCCAGCACCGGGGGCTGTCACTCAGCCACCGAGCAGCCGGGGACCGCCACACCGACCCCCGTGTGCCCCCCTGCCCGTGCTGGGACCGCAGTGCCGCTGGCTGTGGCGGTGACCCCGCGGTGGCGGCGGGGTCAGCGCGGGGCTCGGTGCCGGAGCGGGGCTCGGTGCCGGAGCGGGGCTCGGTGCCGGAGCGGGGCTGCGCTCCCCCCGCCGAGCTGTTGGGGTGCCGGGGGCCGCGGGCGCGCCGGGGCTGGGCCGTGCCCGCCAGCCCTGCGTCACCGCTGCTCCCCAAACACGCCCGACCTGAAAAGGCGGTTCCAGCCGGGAGCGGGCGGCCGGGGCCCCGTGCCACCCGCGCCCGTGACTCACTCGCCCGGGGCCTGGCACCCAGGGCGGGCTCCCGCGCCCCCCGCCCCGCCTGGATGCCGGGGGGATGCTCGCCCGGCCGGCAGCCCCCCGCTATGGGGGCCCCGCAGCCGTCGCCGCTCAACAATCGGGTCTTGTCTCGGCGGGGCCGCCCCGGCGGCGTGGGCAGCGCATTCCTGCCCGCAGCCCCCGCCCCGGCCCCGGGGGTCCCGAGGCAGCCCCCCAGCAGTCCCCGCTGCCCCCGCGGGCACCGTCCCCGTTGTCCCTGGAGCAGAGCCCGGGGGCAGCTTTGGCGGGGGAGCCCCGGTGCAGGAAACCCATCGGAAGCTGTTGGGAGCAGCCTCGGAGATAAGGGGCGGCCGCCGCATCCGCGGCGTTTCCTGCGGGGGCCGGAGCTGCGTGTCCCGCGGGGGAGAGGAGGGCTCGGGGCCCCGCTGAGCCCCCGCTGTCCGTCCCCACAGTCTGCACCGGCACCGACATGAAGCTGCTGCGTCCCTCCAGCCCCGAGAGCCACTACGAGACCCTGCGGCACCTCTACCAGGGCTGCCAGGTGGTCCAGGGCAACCTGGAGCTCACCTACCTGCCCGCCGGCGCCGACACCTCCTTCCTCAAGGTGCGCAGCGGGAAAACGCCCCGAGGGAGGGGGGGAAGGAGGGTCCCACCGGCCTCTCACCCGTGTCCCCCCCATGGCAGGACATCAAGGAGGTGCAGGGGTACGTGCTGATCGCGGAGAACCAAGTGAGCGGGCTGGAGCTGCAGAGCCTGCGCATCGTCCGCGGCACGCAGCTCTTCCAGGAGCGCTACGCCCTGGCCGTGGTGGGCAACGCCGGCCCCGCCGGGGCACCGGGGCTGCGCCAGCTCGGCATGAGGCACCTCACAGGTGGGGAGCCCCTCTCTGGGGTGCTGGGATGTGCGGGTTGCTGCTCCTGTAGTCGGGAGATGCCAGCTCCGGTTTGGGGTGGGTGGTCCCTCGGGGTCTCTGCCCAGGTCTGGGTGCTCCCATGGATCCCTGCCGAGCTGCGGGCATTCCCCGTGCTGATCCCCCCTAGCTGTGCCCCCACAGAGATCCTGAAGGGAGGGGTGCTCATCCAGAGGAACCCTGAGCTGTGTTTCCAGGAGACCATCCTCTGGAGCGACATCCTGCACCGGCACAACGAGTTCCGTGCCGAGATCCAGGTGGAGACCACCCGCACCCGCAGCTGTGAGTGCCCCGGGAGGGGGGGTTGTGCTGCCAGGGAGGGCTCTGGGGGGTTCCAGCCCCCCCTGGCACCCCCTGCTCACTCTTCCCCCTGTGCAGGTCCCGACTGCCGGGCGCTCTGCGCCGAGGGGCACTGCTGGGGTGAGGGCAAACAGGACTGCCAGACATGTGAGTGTGGGGCCCACAGAGGCTCTGACCCCCCACCCAGGGACCCCCAAAGCCACTGGGAATCCC